AAATCAAATACAGAAATATGTATCTTACTTAAAATTGCTGTACAAACTCTTATTGGTCTCTCTTGTTGGCAAGGATTAAAGCGCGCAAGGGAGTACGTCGGGAAAATCCACGTGGTCGGGCAAATGACCCAATGAATTTTTCACGTCCAATCCCGGAATCGAACCATGTCTATGTGGAAGGTGGATGTGTATCCACTGCGCCATCAAAATAAATCAGATATGAAATAGTAACGACTCATAGACCCTTTTAATAAAATACCTGATTATCGCGGCAAAATTGCAGACAATGTACATTTGTACATCATAACATCTTAATACCTATGGTCTATAATGTGTAAAATCAATTCATGAATTATAAAACCAACATGTCAACATAAGTTCCTTAAAACTAGGGCATAATATGGAAAAAGGACATATTTACAAGGAGACTCCCAAAAATGTTCAAAGAGAATAAGACTTGGTGATCGGAAGGGTAAACGTCTTTTGCTTGATATACGAAATTCATGTTAATTTTGGTCAATCACGTAATGTCATGTTCTCAAATGAGAACAATGAGTACAACAAATGTATGAACAGACAAATTAACGAGCATCAAACAGGTCCAGCTTCCAAGAAATTGAATATCTCTCAATGAGATTACCATGACGACCGTAAAACTTTCCCGTACATTTCATCAACCTGCATCTTTTGAAATCATGTGTTACACATTTTTTGCGTCCGTTGGCGATTTCTTGTACAAAAAGCATGTGATAATGGGATCAAGCACTACAATACCAAATCAACCGCGACATGTAAACACAAAAGGTTAGTAACGCAGGAACGTTGTTATCCAGAGATGGAAAATTCATCGTATAGAAATTGAAACCATCACGCTTATAGAGCTTGATGGTGGAAAGCTGTTCGTTTCATTTTAAGAAAAGATCTAGAAAAATATACAAGAGTACAAAAAGATTAACTATATAACGAAAGCATAACACCCCAAAATATTTTATGGATATATTAATAATGTATGAATGATAAAACAATCGTGTGGTTAAGTGTATTATCAAACTTATCGAAATATTCATTGTCAAAGGCCAATATATTTTCAGTCACATCGTAAAAATATCGAATGACGTTGTTCTCCTGAAAAAAGAAGAAGTATTCCGTATTTGCGACTGACGTTATGTAAATTGTGACGGCTGAAGATAGCTATCATAGGATATTTGATTGGAATCCCAAGTCAACCTCTAATCAGAACTCCGAAGGTACCTATTCCATATTGATATGTATTGTGAACGCGAACCTTTGTACAGCTGTTCTGTTGTTACATCATGTACCTAGTTCATGCATTGTGTGTTAATTAAATTTCTCTTTTATCCGTTCTACTCCCTATTTTGTTTGACAATACATTTTTCTAACATTTGGCATTTGATGTGAACGTCTCACTATGAGCGGAGTGTTTTGGGTTCTTTGTCCATGTGTGACACGTTAGTCTTTATCACTCAATATTCATTGAGATACACAAAATCTGGTTAACGTTGTCAGTTCCAGGAGAAATGGCATGCAATCGTGTCAAGATTTAACATTTAAACGCGAGAACAAAATGGACATAGACAGCGTTTTAATGTCACCTTAACCGAATCAAGTAATGCAATCAGGCATAAATAAGAATATGCCTTATTTCGTTTTCGTCTGTATAGTGAAGGAATGTTTCAGATGTTCTTGCAACAGATCATTTTATGTCAGGTGTTCTGTGAGGGATTACTAGAAAGGTCCCAATCGTTAAAGTAAGGCATCATATATATATTCTCTGCTAATAAACTTCTGTGGGTAAACAATGCGTGATTGATTACGTTATACTCATTTGATAAAATACATAACAAAATAGACAAGGTGATACGGATTTAAAACGATGGTTTTGTTCTTGTATTTGGTTGATACTTTTAATGCGGATACATCTTTACATTGCAATTATATATTTTGAATTAATTTTCAGTTCATCCTAGTCTTGACTCCAATGTTCTGCATCTAATGAATTCCCCAAATATTCAAATCAGTGCTTCTTTGTTCCATAATATACGTCACCAACATAATTAAGAATTTACACCAATAGGTCAGAAAAAAACTAGCAGTGGTAGACACACACCTATCAAACATAAGATTGATCTTACCTGGAGTTCAGTTAAGTCATGAAGATTGATTAAAATAGAATGGCCGAAGCTTTCCATTTGGAAAAATGAATTCACCAGAAAAAGAAAAATTACGCTAAAATGGTCGAAAATGGCATAAGATTATTCCAAACCAAATAGTTTCTCTAAGAGGACATTTGCATTGAGGTCATCGGCGGTATCAGTGATCTAGAGTACATTTCAGCAATACTCATTCAACAACTACATACGTATTCGAACGACAGGGGCTTTTACTTAGCCTGAAGGCATTTCTATCATACGAGGGCCATTATCGTAAACATTCCTCTGTTTATATGGTGGAGATAATTATTTCATTCTCAACAACAGGTACGCTTGCTTTCCACACCGGCCATTCATGAGCGAAACGAACTGGCGATCACCTGCAATTACAGCTAAATACTTGTCATAAATACCTAAAGTCCTTTCGGCACATACATTTCACGTGGCCGCCTGTACATATGTTCCGTATCCGGGACCGCCTATGTAATTGAACAGTGTACTTAACATCCGTTTGCGTTTCAAGTTCATGTCATTGACAAAACTAGTGTAAATTGTTGCGATAAAATAGTCGAAAATGGCATTCCTGGTATTTCAACTGTTTGTCGTACTTCACTCTACTACGATGACGTTAACAGCTGAACAGATCATCTCACCATACCTTAAGAAAGTAGACATTCTTGGAAATTAGTCAACAAAGACGACGAACAATAATAAAATCCTGAATGATGCAATAATAATAAACAATGGTTTTCTTGCAACAACACGATTTATGAGAGAATTGAAGACGGAGAGAAAGGAAATTGTTGAGATGTGTTGAAATGACGGCAGACATGATATGCAAGGAACGCAATTTGAAGGAAGGTGATCTGAAAATTATAAATTATACTTAAATATTATTTCTGCAAACTTATTCATTGCTTGAAAATGATATAACATTCGTCATCTACTTGACCCGTGCATTCCAGCAATATATCATTGTCTTTGTTTTGTAAATACGTAATTACCTCGTGAACTGTTACAGATCCAGCTTGAACCTTCGGCAAAACACGATCAACCTTAAAAAAGGCATTCCTGTGACCTTGATTATATTTTCACCAGACGCTTGTGTGATTATCTAAAATGTCAGAAGGAGAAGGTTACTTTCCGGAAACACGTTTATTTAGCATTTGTTACTGATTTGTTTTGGCACATCCTGATCAGTTTCTTAATTTGCTTTCAGTGGTTAACCAATCACAATAACTGAGAAGATAATGCAAATTCTTAAAAAGAAGTCAAACTAATCCTTTTAGATATAATGAATGTGTGAAATTAAAGAGAAGGGAGTCCTTTTGAGACGGGTATAGCCGTAACAACACGAGTTATGTATTCAACCTATACGTTCCAAATTGGACTTGCTCTGTCTAGGTGTTGTAATGTCTAGAATGGCTTGGTTTCGTTGTATGGCAGCTTAAAATGCATTTGAAATAGTTTATATAATACCTCAGCTTTGAATCAACCATAAAGTACAGTCTGATAGGGAGAGATGGTTGGGAGAGGCATCAGCGAACCCACAAAAAAGAGGACCTGTCCCAAAATACAACATAATCATGCTGTTTTCAAGGTAATAGTACCCATGACATAAAACAAGTGAAGTGTATATAAATAAAGCGAAACTGCTTGGTAGGTTAAAATGGTCAATTACATTTGAATGCAAAAAACCGACAGTTACCAGATTCGCGATGTATATTATAACTTTTTTTAATCTGATAAACTGTTTTAAGCTTATTGAAAGGAATCAATATTAATGAGTACAGCTGATGACTAGTAAGATGATTCTGTGATTGCAGAACACCAATTAATCCGTTACCTCATTATTCCTGGGTGGGCAGAAATTTTTTCCTGTATAAATGAGCTCCAGAGCTGGCTAACTTGTTTTTGTTTCAATTTGTTTTAACAGCGCGATGGGAATTTTCAAATGCTTTGAGAAAATGATATTATGTGTATTAAATCCTTAGAAATGTCAGAAAATCATTTAATGTCCCATACCGTAAGCTGATAAGTTCATAAATGCAAAGAAAATATCAATTGCTATAATAAAATGTGTTTCTCTTCCAACTAATGTACATTTGCGTGTAGACATCCGCGCATAAACCATTCACATTTAATTGCAAGCCATTCATCGGATACAATGATAGGTGCTAGATTTTACTTCATTTAGATACATCTTGGTAATATGAATTACGTATAATCAAGTCTCTGTTTGATCTTAGTTAAATTCAAGTCGTTATATACTTGTAAGACACTAGAGGAAAAGGTTTGGATGTAAATCGTGTACTTCAGTAGGGTGTTGAGGCGAGTAAGCAGATAACAAGGCTGTTTATTTGATTTTGTAAATTCCATTTGTCAAACGAATGGCTTTTTAAAACGCCAAACGTCATCATTGCCCACTAATGTTGGCTGTACAGTGCTTGTTAGTGATGTTAAGTGTTGGTACTCAAGGTAATGTGCTAGCCAATTAGCATTCACCATGCTTGGATAACTTTGCCATTATTTGGATGACTTTTATTTCTCTGTCAGCAAGTCAATATGCGAGTTAATGTAGATATTGTTATTTCATGAAAACAAAAAATGATACCGTTACTATTCCGAAATATATAGTTTTTAATTCGTTCGCTTATCTAATTTTCACGAGGATATTCTCGATAAACATGTTTACTTGAGGAATGTATGTAACAAATCACTCACCACTGAACTATGCGGTGAGATGACTTATGACTATGACTAATATTTACAAGTAGAACGACATGGCTGTTTACATGTCTACGATAAAAAGTAACGATATAATTTGACATGGCTATATTCCTAAAAAAATCTTTTAAAAGGTAAGTTATTTTTAAACAGTGTCAATGAAATCAGTATTAGTCATCAGTGGATCCTTCGAAATTTGCGGCGTGCTCTTATATATGCATGTTCTTTAGAGATATTTGCGCGTTCTTATTGTTGATTAAATGTATACTCAAACATCTGACACAGTAGTAGATCACTCGCCTTTCTCATAGAAATCTGGGGTTCGAATCCCCGAACGGACTTGTAAATATATAGGGTCATCTTCCCGACCATTTTGGGTTTCCCTGGGTATTCCGGTTTCCTCCACCAGTAAGATCCCTCACAAACTTCCATCCGAACTGGGAAAATGCTATGAGTTGAAAGAACTTGTTTTCTAGATAGGTTAAAACTTCAGTTTATGCATCAAAACATCTGACACACGAGCACCTTAAGAAGAGAAAGAATTCAATAATGGTAGTTGTGTTTGCTGACAAAAATGATACAAAAATGAATAAATTTGTCTAGCTCACATTTGTACCAATGATTATCTCCTATTGTTAAACAATGTCTTCCGTGAAACTGTCTATAAACGAATAAATGAGTCTCCAACTAGAATTTCGAGTGCAGAATAAGTAAGAAATTTTGCCACAAACATAAATGAAATTTTCACTCATATATGATAGTGGTGTTTCTTATGTAATATTCATCTAATCATTTGTTTATTTTAAAGATATTCTAGATTCTAATGCTACATGTTAATGTCTTAGTGCTGATTGACAACATTATACGATATACTGATCACTTGATTGATGTAACTGTGTACCTCTTCATGTCAATGTATTGAGAGGGCTTACATAGGCTATTCATGTTGCCAAATTCCTTTGATCATCAATATCTTGACAATAAAACTAAAAAAGAAAGAAACTGAATGTTTATACGCGTACAGGCATTTTATAAATCGCCATTATTTGTTTTGAAATCCAATCTAAAATGCATCCTGTCAAACCTTGAGGTGAATGGTGTCAGAAAAACAAAATACAATTTACAAGATAAAATGCTACATCGTCTTTAGACAGTTACTGCAGATAACGCAGTCAAATTTCGTTATCTGAAGAAGTTAATTTGCGGATCTCAGGCCACAAGTCTTCTGGTGCTGTAGGATTATCGTAAAAGTTTCAAATGATAAGTGTGTAAGCTATGGTTTGTAGCGGAAACATATAGATAACTCCTTTAGGGAGCAGAATACAGCAGGCTAATCCTGTACGTGTTGTCTTATCTGTGAAACCATTGCAGTTCCAAACAAATAAATATAAATTTTTCACTCGATGCACACTGTGAAACTGTTTATAAGTAGCATAATTGATTCCAGGAGGATTTCTCATCAGATAAGGGCTAGGATAAATATCCAGAACTAAATGTGTCAGAAGGTTTTTACGATATAAAAAAACGAAAATGCTATAAATGTAGAAAAGTTAGGTAATTATCTCTTCCAGCCAAATATCAGCTGGCTGATTTCATCACAACGTCGTCCAAATGTTTCATAGCCAGCACCAAAACATTCCGCGAATGAAGGATGTGAGAATATCCCTGTAGTCTTTAACATTTGAAAAATCACTAAACATTAAATTGTTACGTAAAATATGGAAATGGGCACATGGTATTATACTTTGCGTTCGGTGAAAGACGGAACAGACTCTACAGATTAATTTAATCCAACATTTTGAGTTAAAGGGTTCAAAACAATTTCCTTAAATCGTTCCAGTCTTCATGACTGATAGTTTATAGTACTTACAGTCAAACCCAGCCGTCTATTGAACTTTTGGGTAAGGTTGTTCTCGGGGTTTTTACATCTTCTGCTATCTTCGAGCATAGTCACATCTATGCAAAAGTATTAAAGAAAGCATAGCCTAATCGACTCCTGTGCGTTGTTAACATATTGTCCTTTTTTCTATCGATCACCACGAAAAATGAAAACAAAGACCTCAAACCTGGCCGAGGCAGCAAAACCAGCAAACAAGACCTCCGAACCGGCAGACACAACAAAACCAGCGAAAAAAGACCTCAAACCTGGCCGACGCAGCAAAACCAGCAAACAAGACCTCCGACCCGGCAGACACAACAAAACCAGCAAACAAGACCTCAGACCCGGCAGACACAACAAAACCAGCAAACAAGGCCTCCGACCCGGCAGACATAACAAAACCAGCAATTAAAACCTCAGACCCGGCACACACTACAAAACCAGCAAACAAGACCTCAGACCCGGCAGACACAACAAAACAAGCAAACAAGACTTCATACCCGACAGACACACCAAACCAGCAAACAAGACCTCCGACCCGACAGACACAACAAAACCAGCAAACAAGACCTCCGACCCGACAGACACAACAAAACCAGCAAATAAAAACCCCAGACCCGGCAGACACAACAAAACCAACAAGCAAAGACCTCCGACCAGGCAGACACAACAAAACCAGCAAACAAGACCTCCGACCCGGTAGACACAACAAAACCACCAAACAAGACCTCCGACCCGGTAGACACAACAAAACCAGCAATTAAGACCTCAGACCCGGCAGACATATCCAAACCAGCAAATAAAAACCTCAGAACCGGCAGACACAACAAAACAAGCAAGCAAAGACCTCCGACCCGGCACACACAACAAAACCAGCAAATAAAAACAACAACAAAACCAAACAAGACTTCCCTGATAGACACACCAAACCAGCAAACAAGACAGACAGACACACAAAACCAGCAATTAAGACCTCAGACCCGGCAGACATATCCAAACCAGCAAATAAAAACCTCAGAACCGGCAGACACAACAAAACAAGCAAGCAAAGACCTCCGACCCGGCACACACAACAAAACCAGCAAATAAAAACCTCAGACCCGGCAGACACAACAAAACAAGCAAACAAGACTTCATACCTGATAGACACACCAAACCAGCAAACAAGACCTCCGACCCGACAGACACAACAAAACCAGCAAATAAAAACCCCAGACCCGGCAGACACAACAAAACCAACAAGCAAAGACCTCCGACCAGGCAGACACAACAAAACCAGCAAACAAGACCTCAGACCCGGCAGACACAACAAAACCAGCAAACAAGACCTCCGACCCTGTAGACACAACAAAACCAGCAAATAAAAACCTCAGACCCGGCAGACACAACAAAACAAGCAAACAAGACTTCAGACCCGGCAGACACAACAAAACCAGCAAACAAGGCCTCCGACCCGGCAGACAAAACAAAACCAGCAACTTAAAACCCCAGACCAAAACCAGCAAACAAGACCTCAGACCCGGCAGACACAACAAAACCAGCAAACAAGACCTCCGACCAGGCAGACACAACAAAACCAGCAAACAAGACCTCCGACCTGGCAGACACAACAAAACCAGCAAACAAGACCTCCGACCCGGCAGACACAACAAAACCAGCAAACAAGACCTCAGACCCGGCAGACACAACAAAACCAGCAAACAAGGCCTCCGACCCGGCAGACATAACAAAACCAGCAATTAAAACCCCAGACCCGGCAGACACAACAAAACCAACAAGCAAAGACCTCCGACCAGGCAGACACAACAAAACCAGCAAACAAGACCTCCGACCCGGTAGACACAACAAAACCAGCAAATAAAAACCTCAGACCCGGCAGACACAACAAAACAAGCAAACAAGACTTCTTACCTGACAGACATAACAAAACCAGCAAACAAGACCTCCAACCCGGCAGACACAACAAAACCAGCAAATAAAAACCTCAGACCCGGCAGACACAACGAAACCAGCAAACAAGACCTCCGACCAGGCAGACACAACAAAACCAGCAAATAAAAACATCAGACCCGGCAGACACAACAAAACCAGCAAATAAAAACCCCAGACCCGGCAGACACAACAAAACCAACAAGCAAAGACCTCCGACCAGGCAGACACAACAAAACCAGCAAACAAGACCTCAAACTTGGCAGACACAACAAAACCAGCAAACAAGACCTCAGACCTGACAGACACAACAAAACCAGCGAGTAAAGACCTTTGACCTGGCGATTACGTAAATAGACTAAGCACAATTTTGGCTTTTGCTTTTATTCTTTTGTTTAATTCTTATAACCAAAATTTAATTCACGGAACATGATGTTCTATTGATCGCTGTGACCTATTTAAAACTACGATGACATAAATTGTAATACAACATGTATTAGTAACATTTAAGAATCTACACTACTTGTTGTTACAATCATCGCTAAGATCACAGAACTTGTTCAAATATGTGCGATATTTACTGAAATTATCAAAGAGGAAATGACGAGAACGGAACTTAGTGATCAGTAAAGGAATTTACACGAAAACACAGACTTGTTAAGTAAACAGATTATACCTCTGCCAGCATAGTTCTCGGACATTAAGTTCGATGTGTACCCAAAAGTATTACATAAATCTAGTGATGCTTAAAGTTTTCTGGTGCAGAATTCTTTTTATCGGACCAGTCTATGGTACCATGCTACTGTATCCCCTGTCTCGGTGTTTAGTTCCGGTGAACGATATCAGCTACATACGACTGGATTACGTCCAAATAAAACATGGCTCCCTCGGTTTTAATCGTAACTCCTGGGTTTAGTGTTTTGATGTCGTCTATTTTATATTTTGTTCTATTTTAAGATCTTCATTCTCTGGTTTCCATCGCCTGTGCGTGGCATTTGGGATGGTTTTCTCTCAGGAGGGGTATATCACGCATTTCAAGTACATTTCATAAATGTGTTTTGAAGGCGAATATTGCTAAACTATATCGGGATACATTCAACATACAAACTTAAATTCAATAGAAACTAGGACAAAACACGAACAAACATAAAAAGCTTAAAAAACTGAGAAAATTCCATCTTGGCAGCATAATCATAATCCGAACACATATTCCATAAAAAGGGCAAAAAATGAAAACAGGAAAGATTAACATGGAGACATATTTAAAAAGTGCAAGGAGAATCAGACCAGGTGTTCTGAACGAGACCAATAGACAAACTAACGATCATCAAACACGTCTAACTTCATATTACACAAAGAAATATTTCTCAGTGAGATAATTATGACGCCCAGAAAACTTTTCCTTAATTTTCATCAACATGCATAACTATGAAATGATTGATTTAATGTAATCATTCAATGTAAAAACAGTAACAATTGCTTTCACAAAGTAAACACCCATCACTTATTTATACACCAGAACGGATAATTTAGAAACCCATGCTGTGTTCATATTTGTTAGTGATAAAGACATTAAACCCATTGTTATATGATTAGTAAATGGTATATCAATGCAAAGGAAGAATATGCATGATTATGTACAAGAGAATTCATGGGAAAGGTGTAGCTTGCCATAACCACTACACAATAACCAGCTGTGACAACATTACATTTAGGGATACTCCTTTCAAAATGCACGACGTAAATCCATGCACGTTCTGTATTCTTTTTTTTAAAAAATAAACCAAACCCCACATTCAGGTTTTTGACTCTCATGTGCTTCGTTTTAGTCCGGCTTCCTTTCCGTGACAAAAACATAAACATTGATTATTAATTATTTTCCCATTCGTCTGAAGTTACAACATAGGTCGTTCGCAATTACACGGCTCGTTTCTAACAGATTTAAAACAGCCAAATACTGCAATAGTTGCCAAACCGGAAGTAAGGTATAATATATCTGCACCGGAAGAGGTATTGGAATTCCTGACTCGCTTTTAAAAGTGAACTAGAATTAGAATCTGAAGATAATTTCTGATGATTTTGGCAGTGATTCGCTCGGGTTGATGCCACGCTTTCGATCTGGATAATTGTCAAGGTTTTCGAATGCACGGTTTACTCCAGCTAACATTTAATCTTTGGTGTAAATTTGTAAATAACTTGCAGATAAGGAGAAACTTTGTCGTGTACAATAAAAAAAGATTGTTCTGCTATACATTTAACAGAACACTCAACACCGGAAATAAACGCTTGTTGATAATACAATAGAGTACCCGTGTTAATTCAGATATATATGGAATGATAGGAATGTGTCTCAGCGTCACACGAAAGCGACAAGGAAGAAAATGTAGTTTATATTTATCGTTCAGGAACTTATTGAGATTTATTTTTTTTTATAAATTTTGTAGATGAACGATAACTTGTGTTTATAATCCATGATACATATCAGTGTATTTAATGAATTATTCTTCATTTATTTAATATTCATTTAAATTCATTATTAGAATTTATTTAAGCTCAAATTGTGAGGGATCTTTCTAAGATATATATCCTCTAACCACTCCATGCTTACTTTCTTGTAAGCATTTTTAAACAAATTGTAGCGTACATTAATTCACTTAGAAATAATCCTACTTTAATATTCTGGATAATAATCACGAGATGCACTATCAGCCGCGATCATGTTTCGTTAAGATTGCATTGCTCAAAAACATGAAAATCGGATATTTTAAATCTGCTGTTTTGCATTAGAGCATTTTCGTATTTTATCATTAATTTTTTCCTGTGTTTGACGGATTTCCTTTGATGTCTGGGCGCAAATGTTCATCGTAACATCAAGGGCAATAATATAGGATGTTGTTCTGCAACAAATTTCTTCCATTTCCCGTCTATATTAATCCACGTTCTCAAAATTAGAAACAGTGGAAATATAGTAGTGGGGTGTTCCCGATTTGCCCACTTTTTTTTAAACAAAGAAAGGTGTTGTTTTAGGAAGACAATAGAAAACCAATTATAGTCAGTTTCAGATTAACTATAGATTTCACCTGAGTTCATTTACCTGTGTTTTTACCTGTGTGAGCTATTACCTGAGATTCTACCTGAAGTCTACACTAAGTACTTTTTATTACATTTTATTTTATTTTGTTTCATTTATTTTATTATAATAGCAAAGCAGAAAGTTTATCATTTCTTATACATACAATTAAACATACCAAAGCAGAAAGTTAATCATTTCTTATACATATTAACACAATTAAACATAGTTGAAAAAAGTTGAAAGATTACCATTACACATTACATACATATAAATCAGATGAAACATAGTATTCTAAAGGACGTTTGACAGTCCAGCACATTGCACATTATTATCAGTCCAGTACATTGCACATTATAAAAGTGAGGAATTTATCCCAGGTGTAGAAGATGTGATGCTGCATCGGCGTACTCCAAGATGTTGATCCTCTGAGTCTGGAATCGCTTCCTAAGTTCGGCCAGTCTGTTGTCGATGCTTCGATATCTCTTCGTACGTCCACCATGCTTGTTTCTAAGAAACTTTACTTGTATCTGTGCATTGACCATGTCTCGAAGTGAGTAGTTGTGAGTAGTTGTCTTGAAGTGGTAGTTGTGGGTAGATGTCTCGAAGTTGTAGGGAAAACAATCTCAGAGAAAATTCCGGTGAATGTATCAACTGTGTATAATGATGAAGTCTGATTTTCCCCATATATAAATAATCATTGTGGCTTAGGATACCTGCTCATCATCAGCTTACATTATCATAATAACTATGTGGGTACATGGAAAGGTGTCCACTATCCGGTATCAGCACTATCATCACCACTTCTGAGATCATCTTAAAATTGTTTGTATTTGAGGTCGATGGCTTGGGCAATTAAATAATATAAGTATACTTACATTTAGAAAACATAAAATAATTTCTATAAGTATAATAAAAAAATGAATACTATTAATACCAATGGATATTTTGTTTAATTATACCTAATGATTAATATCCTAGAATATTTTATCATCATTATCAATTTACTTAATATAGGGACCTTAATATATACTTAATATATATTCAAGTCAGACAAATTTTTCAAAAATGTAAAACTTTGATTCTGATATAATGTAATATTTTAGTGAATTTTAACCTCCTCTAGTAAATGATAATGAATTAAAATTTTCAGTGACATATACATCAACATAAAGAAATATAATGCAATGCTTTTTTATTTTATATATTTTTAAAAACTCAATAAAATAGTTATTATTTAATAGGCTAGATGGCACTGGAGACCATAGGTAAAATACAGGTAAAAACACAGGTAAACACAGGTAAATTAATATGAAATAGACTTATCACAACATTCTTTTGCCCATGTTATTTTAAATAGTGGGCAAATCGGGATACAGCCATAGTAGTAACGCAAACAATATGATACCGAAAGGCAATATATACAATAAATATCGATGACTTGTGTGGTTAACAAGTTGAACACATCATCACTGGAAGCAGGATATTGATATATACTTGTATCCCTCTGTGCTTTGCGTTATATATATCATAAACCTTTATTAGTACATTTATTTCATAGACATAAAATCTGATAATTATGTGACAAATGTAGTATGTCGTTTGCAATTGGACATAATTTATGCCTTTAATCAACAAACCTAGGCCCAACAAATGGGCTCCTGTGCTTATGGCGTTTTCGTGTCTCGAATGGGCCTTTCTGGCTTCAGCGTCGATTTATAGCTTCATACTTATGTCCATGTTTAACGAGAACATCTATATCACCTAACGATAATATTTAAGAAATATATAAAAGAAAAATTACCAGAAAGGCGATGGTATTAGAAAGCAAAGATACATAAAAGCAATACAGGTTTATAGCC